AAGGGAGACAGCAACTGGCCGAGCGAGTGGCTCAAGGACAGTGCGGTCAGCGAGAAGCACCTGAGTCCAGGGTGAAGGTGTGCAGTGCCGCAGTCGACTCAGTACCAGGGGAGACAGACTCACTAGCACCTAGAGCGACAGCCTCACCATCACCCGAGGTCGCAGACACGAGAGGACCTGCAGTGGCAGTCTCACTAGTACCTAGAGCAGTAGGCTCACCAGTAGCTGGAGTGGCAGACACGTGAGTACCGGGAGTGGTAGCCTCACCTGCACCTAGGGCAACAGACGTACTAGCACCTAGAGCGGCAGCCTCACTCACAGGACTCGGCAGCTGCACCTGTCCACTACCAGTAGCTCCCGAACGACGCACTCCAGAGCGACTACCACTACGGCCACTCCGACAGCCCAAACTGGCGTACCACTCACGAGCCTGCTGGAGCATAAGAGGGCACGGCTGCTGCACCTGTCCACTACCAGATGCTCCCGAACGACGCACTCCAGAGCGACTACCACTACGGCCACCCCGACAGCCCAAACTAGCGTACCACTCACGGGCCCGCTGGAGCATAAGAGGGCACGGCTGCTGCACCTGTCCACTACCAGAGGCTCCCGAACGACGCACTCCAGAGCGACTACCACTACGGCCACCCCGACTGCCCAAACTGGCGTACCACTCACGAGCCTGCTGGAGCATAAGAGGGCACGGCTGCTGCACCTGTCCACTACCAGAGGCTCCCGAACGACGCACTCCAGAGCGACTACCACTACGGCCACCCCGACTGCCCAAACTGGCGTACCACTCACGAGCCTGCTGGAGCTGCATCTGGCCACGTCAGGAGCAGCAGCAGTGGTTGCAGCAACAGCAGTAACAGCAGGAGCAGTGGCAGTGGGAGTAGTAAAGGCAGTAGCAGCAGTAGTAGCGGGAGCAGTGCTGGCAGGGCAAAGCTCACCAGTGGTAGGCGCGGCGGGCGCAAGACGGTGGTGACAGCGGGGCCGCTGCAACTGCGGGGCGGGGCCAGGTCGCAGCAGGGAGCTCCGCGGCAGCTGCTGCAGGGTCGGCGGCGGCAGCTACTGTAAGGTCGACGGCGGCAGTAGCTGCAGTCGCAGCAGCGGTAGCTGCTGCCGCAGAGTCGGCGGCGGCTGCTGCTGGAGGCTCGGCGGCGGCAGCTGCTGCAGGTCGAGCGGCGGCTGCTGCTGCAGGCTCGGCGGCTGCAGCTGCTGCAGGTCCGGCAGCGGCCGCTGCTGCAGGCTCGGCGGCGGCAGTTGCATGGTGTAGGTCTGGCGGCGGCTGCTGCTACAGGCTCGGCAGCGGCAGCTGCTGCAGGTCTAGCGGCGGCTGCTGCTGGTCGCAGCAGGGAGCTCCGCGGCAGCTGCTCGAGATGCCAGGGGCGGCTGCTGCAGTGCGGGCGACCCCCAAGGCGCCAGAACGGTCGGGTGGGCGAGCGGAGGGGGGGTGGCGCGCGCTGCTGCTCAAGGCGCCGCGACGGACGGGCGGGAGGGACGGGCGTGCGACCCCCGAGGGCGCCGAGACGGCGAGGCGGGGCGTGCGCGGGCTCCCAAGGGCACCGCGATGACCGGGCGGGGCGCTCGCGGGCTCCCCAGTGCGTCGCGACGGACGGGCGGGGGGTTCGCGGGCTCCTTAGGGCGTCGCGACGGACGGGCGGGGCGCTCGCGGGCTCCCCAGGGCGTCGCGACGGACGGGCGGGGCGCTCGCGGGCTCCCCAGTGCGTCGCGACGGACGGGAGGGGGGTTCGCGGGCTCCTTAGGGCGTCGCGACGGACGGGCGGGGCGCTCGCGGGCTCCCCAGGGCGTCGCGACAGACGGGCGGGCCGCGCGCGGGCGGCTAGCGGGTCGCGCGCGCTAAAAAGAAGGCGGGCCGCGCGCGGGTGGCTAGCAGGCCGTGCGTGCGCGGTAGGGAGAGGCGCACGAGGGCGCAAGGGCGCACGAGGGCGCGCGGTAGGGATTGGCGCACGAGGGCGCGAGGGCGCACGAGGGCGCGCGGTAGTAAGAGGCGCACGAGGGCGCGAGGGCGCACGAGGGCGCACGGTAGGTAGGTAACGGTGGGCCCTAAAACGGTCCTAGTGAAGGACCTGCTCTGAAACCATGTCAGAATGAACGGACAGGAATGATTGAACTAACAGGGAAATCAGTACAAATAGCAAACCCTAGAATTGTGTACCCCATATAGGCTAACCCACTGTAGCCTAATAAGTACAACATATATAATGTTTGACAATTCAAATTGCAAAATGAGCACACTGATGTGGTAGACCCTGGACCCCCTCACGTAAGGGCGGCACTCGTAGAGGACTGGTTCCGCAGAGGAGGGGGTGTCCTTGCAACAGAGGCATCCACGCTGCTACACCTGATGCAGCCCACCTTGCAAGTTGATGCAGAGGCTGTAAAATGTTGTCAAGTGTGGGCACATACGCCAAACATTGGAAAGGGACGAGGAAACTGTCCCATGTTGGGTCCTTGATCCCGCCAAACAAAAAAGCAATCTTTATTACGTGTTCCGGTATGTGCGAGAATACCAAAAGTAACCATTCCATTTATAAGATTTATAAGACACCCATTTGGTTCTGTTTATAAGATACAGTGGCCATTTTCAATCCTATATGAGTTAAGACACATGATATGTCTTCTATTCGGGCGATGACGGTAGCTAGGGGGCTAGAGTTTTGGGGAAGAGATGGCCACGAGAAGATTGGTTGCAATAACCATGAGAGTCAGGGCTGACGATATCAGACTATTTTTGCTTGATTGTCTGAAATTTCAGACTATTTTCCTGACGTTCCTGATTTTTCATAGTTGGCTGATTTTGGAAAATGGGTGCTTCAGACTAATGTTTTATTCAATGCTGAAAATTTCAGAGTACTTGCTTGCCGGATAATGAGTTTCCATACTACAGAGTACGAACTCCCATATGTCATTCCTCTTAGTTAGAGGGATATCCATCCCTCTGGGCTTGTGCGAAAGACCCGTCAGTACTAAAACCTGCCTTGGTCTTCTGGTAGTGACTAAATACAAAAAAATTCAGGGTTATACTTCTCTGGTTCCTGATAAATCAGAGTATTCATATTTTGAAAAATGGGCCTCAGACCAGAACAAATTGGGGGGCAAAAAAATCAGAGTGGTTTTATTTGAATAGTCAGCCCTGATGAGAGTACAAGACCACATGAAAACAAGATAAGGTGATACTACACTAACTAACTGAACATGCAATTATATAATAAATATAACGTTCTAATAATATGCTACTACAAAATTTCATCATCAACTTCAATGAATGATTTGGAGATCAGCATGGTATTATTATTTGGCAAGTTGTTTGTTTTATATTGCTGAAATTCCAAAATGATTATCAGCAAAATAAAATTTTCATTAAATTCTCATACTCATATATGAATAGGACAATTGATAGTATGCTGAACAATATGCTGAAACCCGAGTCATCCTATTTAGATTCAAGATAAATTAATAGTATGCTGAACATCTACAATCTCAAATAGCGCAATCCTCGACGTCCTATCAATCTCAACATCCTATCCCAATTGAGGAGGTTGGATGAACGATTTTCCCCTCCGTCTGAGGCCGCGACAAAACTCCCCGCTGAACTGTACAAGTTTATCGTTCACCCACCAGCACAGAGGTGAGGTTGTTGAAACAGCCAGGCCCAAGCCCATTCCTCTAATCAACGTAAAAACAAGTGAACAGTACTTCCAGTGTTCGTTCTTGACGAGTCGCAGGGTAATCTCAGGTGTTAACCAACAAGGACGAGTGACCAACAAGCACACGTCTCCAAACCTGGAATTCCCCATCCCTCCAGCCCCCAACCCAACAACAGTCTTAGTCCTCACTCCACCCCACATCTACAATATCAGATTGGCCTGAGTCTCTCATCCAGGCAGTCGAGCAGCAGTAGAACATTCGCCCTTAGCTTCCAACTCAACACCCTTCCCTGGAATTGCCGCACATTACAGGTCCTGGTTGCTCCGAAATCATCCAAGCGCAACACTATGGGTCCCAAGCTAATTTTAGTGTCTCTGGTGGTCTTACTCCTTAGTGGCGGGGCCCTTGCCGGCACCAAGGGTAGGATTTCAACGACATCGACCGTCGCTCCCACAAACGCTGATGTTCAGGCTCTGAAGCAGAAGTCCCTTGCGATGCAGCAGCAGGCCTCTCAGAGGACACAGGAGCGTATCAATGCTGAGCTGGCGGCTAGTGATGCTCAGAAGGCCGATGACGACGCCAAGGCAGCCGTTGCCGCCGCTAAGACGGGAGTGGCAAACGCGCAGGCGGCTAAGAATCTCGCCGCGACGAACGCTGCCAATGCCGCGAAGAACCTCGCCAAGGTGAAGCCTGCTTACGATAAGGCAGTTGCCAACGTGGCGTCTAAGCAGACGGCGCTCGACACTGCTAAGAAAAACTACGATGACGCCGTGAAGAAGGGCGTCGGCCTCACTGGTTCAGCCAAGACGAAGCAAGACGCTGCTATCAAGACGGCCCTGACGAACCTGAACACTGCGCAAGCGAACTACAACAAGGCTGTGGCTGACGCCAAGGCTCCGACCGACGCGTACACCCCAGTGAAGAACGCAAAGGATGATGCCGACGCGGCGCTGCAGGCAAAGACCGACGATCTTACGGCTGCCCAGCAGAAGCAGATTGATCTGGAGCTGAAGCTGTCGGACGCGGATCAGAAGTTGGCGGACGCGAACAAGAAGGTGGCCGACGCAAAGGCCGCGGAGACGCAGGCTTACCAGTGGGCTTCCAAGGCCAACGATGACTACACGACTGCTTACAAGGCGTACACGACTGCGCAGTCGGCCACTTCCACGACTACAACCACCACGACGACCAGCACCTCAACCACGACGTCGTCTACCAGTACGTTGTTCTGCCTTTCTGTTTTCGTTGGGCATGTTGTTGCTCGTGTGGATGCTACTTGGTTGTCTCTGCCCATTCTCACGTTGCTGTGTTTCGTTTGCTTCCAACAGTTCTGTGGAACGACGCCAAATACCCTGGGACGGGCGTGACGCAGTGCACGGCTCCTCTGGACATTCCCTGCACGGACAACTGCACGGACACCAGCGGTCTGAACGGTCGCTACGTGATGCCCAACGGCGGACGGTGCGGCACTGGTTTGACTCCGCGGTGCTTCGGCAACGCTGTTCTGCGCCGGCAGTGCTGCGCGGCGTGCACCAACTCGACTGCGTGCTCGTTCTGGCAGCACTACATCCCGTCGTCCATCTCTTGCAACAACTGCGGTATCTGCTACCTGTACAAGCCGACGGACCCGCAGCCCACTTGCGAGACGCGCACGGTTGTGGACGGCGGCGTGACGCGCACGTACGTGAACGCTTCGACCCTCGGCCGGCCTTGCCCGTACACGAAGCACGACCCGCACTTCCGCGGCGCGCACGGCACGCGGTTCGAGTTCAACGGCGCGCCGGAGAAGTCGTACTGCCTGCTGACGGACTCGAGCCTGCACGTGAACATGAAGATGCGCGGGTACTACGACACGCGCACCATCGGCGCGTCTCTGCTGCGCAACGGGCTGGCGGTGCGCACGTGGATCCGCGAGCTGGGGTTCGTGTGGAGCGCTGACGGCGTGGAGCACTCGTTCCGCCTGGTGGCGCGCAACGGCAAGTCGGACAAGCGCGACAACGGCTTCCTCTCGCTCATCGAGTTCGACGGCCGCGTGCTGCCCTCGCTCGAGGTCAGCATACTACTTGCCTTCCTCTCGATCCATTTTTTCCCTTTTATTCACCTTGTCTTCCTTCCGTCATCACGCTCTTACTAACCCTTGGTTATTTCCTTGTATCCCTGTCTGTTGGTGCAGCCCGGGGAGTCGTACAACCTGGACGGCGGGCTGGCGTTTGTGTTCAAGGGGTACGAGCAGGAGGGCGGCGGATTCTTTGACGTGGACGCGTACTCGCTGCGCATCGGCGACAAGCTGGCCATGGACATCAAGCTGAGGCCCGCGCACCCGCTGCTGCAAACGCCCGACGACGCGCAGGTGCACTTGAACGTCAACTTCAAGCACGTGTCGCGCTCCCCGTCGGTGCACGGCATCATGGGGCAGACGTACCGCGAGGGCCGCGCCGAGCGTGCCATTGACTACGCCATGCTGTCGCGGCTGCTGCGCACTCCCTTCTCTGCCGACGGCGACAACGGCCAGGGCTTCCTGGACGGCAAGGCCGCCGACTACGAGACGTCTGGAGTGCTCGCCACGGACTGTGGCTTCTCCGCTTTCTCCAAGGCCTTGTAGACTCCCTGCACCTCCTGTTTGTGTGCTGGAGTTGCGCCACGGGCTTGGTGATACAACCAGTTTGTCAATTATTCTATTTATGTGTTTTGTTACTTTTAGCGCTCATGTATTTTAGAACTCTTTGAGTTTGGCCACATTGTAAGCCAACCCGATATTAAGTCGGTTCTGTGATTCGCTGACGAATTATGGTGATTGCGTCGCCAGCAGTGTTGGCCTGGAACAAGTTCGGGGTCCACCTTGTGCCATCTGCTTTTGAACTGGAATCCCGTTTTGGCGTTCAGGTGACTCCTCCCTGCGATCCCAAGATCGATCTTCCATAGTCGATCCTCCACCGCATTCAAATCCTGCTTCTCACACTTACAAATTTCAGTCCATATAAACCCCACGAAAATACGAACCTGCGCAGGATCAATCGCAAGGTAGGGGAAAGGATGGCCTCGTCTGGATGCATGCATTCCTAAATCCTGAACATTTCACGAATTTTTTTTGGCGATTTTCTAAGTCTCCACCGTGCGTTCTGCTACTGCCGCTGCGCCACGATAACGTCGTTTTTCATTATATTGGGGTTTCCCAGGGCTCACTGCACCGTGTTTTCACCGTCGGTCGCTCCTCGTACCATCCATTTTGGCTCCATCTTGCCAATGAGCTCATCTCCCTCTCGGCAGCAAGGGAGGTCTCACCATGTAGCCTTTGGAGTGCTGGCAAAAACACCATCCCACCAATTTGATCCGACACACAGATTATCAAGTTCGAGTATCTATGTCATGTGCTAGCCACGGTCAGTCACCTCCCCGACAGCCTAAGTGAACGACCTGTAACACCTTTGCCAGAAGCCAACTAGATCTGCCGCTGTAGCTTGCTCTCCAATGAAGTGAAGATAATCAGCCCATTTAGCTTCTCACCTCGGCTTCCACCCAGCTGCCATCACATTGACTCAACCTTCATGTAGGCGACAGCATATCGGTCAGGGAGTACATGAAAACCGTGTAGCTGGACGATTTATTAGATGCTCGCCAGTATCCAAGGCTCAAAGAGCGCTGTCTGATGTAAACCGTGTCGTTCAATCCAAGACTACGCTAACACAGAAATTTTCCGCGAATCCCAAGATGCAGTGCGATCAGACATTGAAGGTCAATTTATTTCACAAAAATCTAAGCAATTGCAAATTCATTAACAGTCGGTTCAGAAACCTACAGCACCCTATTCCTGAATCCACTATGCTCCATTAAGTCATATGCCAACCACACCCCGACCCAGAAAGCATCCCTGGTTCTACACCCGTCTTCAGCCCGTTGTAATGAGCTACCAGTGATAGAGATCTTGTGAGTACGGGCGACGATACGACTGACCAGGGTTGTTTCGACTCCAGAAAATGCACCTACTACCATGGTTGACAGCCTACTCCTGATCTTCCTAGCGTTGATGTCCGGAAAGTGTCGCAATGACATAATAGCCGCGAACTGGTTACAACACAAGAGCGAAAGCGGCGACGGCTGCGACCGACACGAACCACCGGAGGCCGGCAACGATCCCTGCGAAGAAACAAGTAAAAACGATAAAGTCAGTATGGATATGTACATGGTAACAAGTAAAGAGCGTAAAGGATCGGTTAAAGAAGTAAACGTACTGGCTGATGGCTTGGGAGGAGGAGGCGAGGAAGTGGAGGGAGGAGGGGTAGCGGGAGGAGACGGCGAGACGGTGGGCTGAGTAGGAGGAGAAGGAGGAGGGGGAGCAGAGGGAGAGGCTGCGGAGCCAGGAGAGGCGAGGATACGGCGGCCATCATCCTCCTGAACGTCGACGGCGCCGAAGTCAATGGAACCGAGAGCCTCCTCGAGCGACGGCGGGATGAGCAGGCCGCGGATCGAGTGCACGACGGCGTCCTTGGAGATGATCGCGTTGTACTCCTTAACAGCGACGTTCGACACGTAAAACGCTAGCGCGTCCATGCGGAGCACGGCGGGGGAGCCCTCCAGGGTGACATGATCGCCGTCCCACTTAAAGGCGGAAATGCGCTCCGGAACGACGTGGAAGAGCAGCACCTTGCGGAGGATATCTTTGTTAACCGGCGCCTTGAGGTACGCGAGGAGTGCGGGAGACACCTTGTACATGAGCGAGTCATCGGAAGGAACGAAAAGGGTAGCTTCGCCTGAGTCCAGCTTCCCTTCAAGCTCCGTCACCATATCGGCTTGCTCCAGTAGCTTGGCGAAACCCGAGCATCCCGCAGATCTCAGTTGGGAGGTAAGGGTATTCGGCCCGTCGTTCGCCGAGGCGAAGGCGAGCGTGGCGAGGAGGAGGATTGCGACGAATCGTGCAGCCATTGCGATGGATGGAGTAAAAGCCAGATAAACTGGCGTGAGCGGAGGGAGTGGTGGTACTTGTGACGCAGACAGCAGAAATGAGGGCGGTTGCTTGGGCTGGAGAAAGGCTGCGACGTAGAGAAGACGAAGTCTAGGTTGCTCAGGCTAGGCTTACCTGTGCCAAGCTTGGGTTGGAATGATTTGTGAAAAGTGAGCGAGGGTACTTGTAAGGATTCCTATCCCTCGCTTGCTTCCTCGGTCGCGCAATGGCGTGATTTTTGGTTTGCGGCGAAACGCACGGAGCACAGCGAGGCGCGGAAACGTCCCTGGGCAGGGGAGTTGGGGACGCAGTGGCGAGGTGCCATGCCGCATGTCGCAGCTTTCGGAACTCCCTTTCCGCCTTGGCCCTGATGTGATCGCTCACACGCAGAGCGCGTCAGAGTGGTGCCCGCTGTGGGACCGAAGCGCTGAGCAATTGGGACTGGTGCGAGGGCGGAGTGACGAGCCGTGCTTCGTTTGGAAATGGAAACGCGACTCGGTCTTTGGAGGGTACGGTCTCCCGAGCCTTTCACAGTGATGTGAAGGGAGGGACATGTCCTAGGCTCAGAAGGCCGTAAAAAACGCACAAACGAATAGTTTTGCTTTGTGGGCTGCCGAACCGAAACCAGTTCGGTTTGGGCCTTGACGAAGCAGCTTCGAAACAGATGGTTGGGGCAAGCCTGTCTGTAGTGACAGGTTCGAGCACGTTCGCGCCAAGGCCGTTTGTTTCGCAACGAGGGGCAGTGGAGAGAAGGCTTGTCTTGACAGGTCATTGGTCTCCATCCATGCCAATGGGAAAGGAAAGGAAAGTTGTGAAACGTGATGGTGCACCACGGGCTGGGTCGCCGCAACTTTCCGACATCGCCGGAACTGACACCACAGAGGCAGATGTTTCGCGGGTTCAGAAAGTTTGAATTTAGGGCAGTCAAAAAATAAAACTAGATACTGTGTCAACGGACAGCCACTCGTCGCTCCGCCGTTCGCCTGACTTGATGACATCCGTTCAAAATGTCACCGCCAAGCCAAACCCTCAATTTTGAAAGGGCAGCAAAACAAAGCTGAAAGCTTTGAGACAGTTCATTCAGGATGACTCGTTTCTGGAAACGCAAAAGTGTTCTCTCGTTTTCTACATATTGCAATCTTCATTTCCTTAATAGCAAACTTCATACCAATCCACGAATAGACCTCCATTTGGAAAACAAAATGGGTATAGATCCTCTCATACATTCAAGTTATCACATTGCTTTGATTTTAGTTCCCGGGGGGTTATAAACAATTGGGTCCTCTCAGTTTACATCGAGTAAAGGTTACATGCCTAAATATTTTTGTGAAAGACTATGTGTTACGAAGACCTCCCTCGCGTGCTGAAATTAGCCATCCCCAGCGGGGAAAACCATTCTAATTTCAAATGGTTCTTTCAAAATGGTAATGTTACCTTATTTTAATGGTTTACCTACAATTATTACACCCGCACAGTAAGTCCACTTATCGGAAAGTGTACCGTCCCTACAGAAGCAGGGTTAAGAGTTGAAAGCTCCACTAAAGAGCTATGTCAGTGAGTTGGATCGTAAGTTTCTTATATTGTTACAGCAACCCTGAATATATTCTTCATTTCCAAACACACAACTGTCACAAATTCTACTGCAAGAGAACACTAGCAAGGTACTCAACAGTGTACACCCCAACAAATGCAAGCATGGCAACTCGTCCATTCAGCTGTTCCGCCTCCCAGGAAAAGAGGAGGAAGCTGCAGGCAAGAAACCGGAGACAGGTGGGAGTTACGGTACGTGATGAGAATCAGTGGTGGTGATGCATGCTCAGCGCAGCATTCAGCGGTCAGCAGGCCAAGGATCTCCATGCGTGCCCCTCCCCAACTGCATTTCCATTTCCTCGTACATTGCCAGTGGTGAATTAACTTTCACAGGTAGCAGCATGAACGCACTGACCACGCGAGCTCGCCGCCTGAGGCACATGCCTCTCTTTACCGCCACACACACTGGTCTACAGACACTCCAGACGCGAGCATTCCAGCAAGAAGTGGGTCCCCATGGCATAGATTATTTGACTCTGTATCACCAAACGACCAAAACAGCATCACATCACCGACACTCTGCCATACACCACGCTACTCATATGAAACATACTCACCTGTGGTCTTCTGGCCGAACTCCCTTGAGCAGCGGAGGCAGCGAGGCAAGGGAGACGAGGACAGCAGCCAGCAGCAGCGCTGCTATGCCCGTCTCGCCGGGGTCTGTCAGCTGCTGCTGCAGTGACACCCCGCCTACCACCTCCCGACTCATCCCTGCTACGAATCCCAGCATGGCCTGCGAGGGACGCGTGGGAGGAGAAGCCATGGGGATGACGAGGCGTAGAAAGGTTGATGCGACATGGTGATGGTGGGGGTGGTGACGCACAGCACACACCAGGCAGCTAGATCTAAACCCCTTCTCAAAGGACAGAGTTCTCAAAACACGAGGCAGGGGACAACCCACCACCCAGCAAGCACAGCACCAGGATGGGCACAGCAGCACAGCAGCACAGCGGCACAGCAGCACAGCGGCACAGCAGCACAGCGGCACAGCAGCACAGCGGCACAGGACGCACCAGGCGGCCATTGATGAGCTCAGGACCCGGCCCATCAAACGCCATGATGCCCTCGAATGATGTCTCCAAGGGATCCAGCGTGCGGGCAGGCGATGAGGATGAGGAGGAGGAAGGCGCGTCGAATAGGCGAGCGCGGGTGTTGGCGGAAACAGACGGAGGAGGGGAGGAGAGGAGAGAGAGAGGCGAGGAGGAGGAGGAGGAGGGGGGAGTGGGGGAGGACGAGGAGGGCTGAGGGGCGGACGCGGATTGTGGTCGGCTTGAGGCGGAAAGGCCACTGCTAGTTCCACTCTGAAAGGAAAATTGACAAAAAGTGGGAAAGAAAGAAACAGGGAAAATACAGAGGAAAGCTTCTTTTGGTGGCCGCAATCGAAGAAAACGTGGAATTGCATCGATTGTGGGCTCGCGTGGTGCATTTGTGGACCATACTGGAACAAAACGTGGATGCGTATGAGTTGACAAGTATGGCTTCCCCCTATCGTTTTCCCCCTTCCCCCTCTTGTATCCCCCAGATTCGTCCCGCTCTCTTCTTGTTGCCCGTAACTGCGCACCTGTGGTTGCGCGCCCGCCGCGGGCGGCGGCTGCGCGGAGCCGGGAGAGGAGTCCGCACCTCCTGAGCGCGCAACCACTGCGGGGAGTGGTCGCGCGGGCGCGGAAGAGCGCGCGGAAGTGACACTCCTCGCAATGAATAGTCCGCGCGAGGACGCGGGAATTCTGTGCGAGGCGTTTCGGAACCACGGTGGGCGGGGGAGGCGTGATCATTGAAGAGGTGGGGAAGGGAAGATGGGGAAGAAGGATGGGAGAGCGGCAAGCGTGGGAGGAAGGAGAGAGAGTGAGGCAGTGTTAAGCGACAGACGCATCCTATGGCATCGCATCAGTAATGCGGCTGCTTCATCGTGCATGGCATTGGTGCTCTCTCGCGCAGCGGCGTGGCCCGTAGTGGTGGCGATGGCTGCTGGTGCCAGTTACTCACCTAACAGCCGTCTGCATCGCCGGCAGCGTCATATATGATCCCGCCGCGCGCAAGGGCCTAAATTCCGAGATCCGAGGTGGGGCAGCAACGGATAGCGCCCGCTTAACGCGCCTTGCAGAAAATGCTTTTCTTTTTTCGCGTGCGATGTGATCAGCTACTTGGCTACAACGTTCCTGGCACTAACTATCCCCAGTGATACGAAATGATTCGTTTGGTACTGGGAGGGAGGTGTGAAACGCATGCGCTGCTGCTGAGTTCTTATTGGATGACGATAAGAGGCAACACGAGCCACCAGCTTTCGCCTTCATGAATGAGAGGACAATGTTGCACCACGTCCGGGGGGTATTTGCCCGTCAAGCGAAAGGCGTTCACACGAAGTTGATGTGGTAACGGCGGGTTTAATTGAGATGACAATGGAGCGTGTAATTGGAATGGTAGAGGGAAATAATACCATGTAGTCAGAACAGAAGCCTGCTTCCTTTCAAACGCCCCAACTCTAAATCAGCAGACACATTTACCGTTCTGAAGGTAATGTTAACAATCAATTATAGCAAATCACACACAGCATTAGTATGTGTATCTAGCGCATGAGCATCTACTCCCTAATTATAATGTACCACTTAGCACCCACGTTGTCCGCACAGGCTGGTAGGTACTCGATATGTTAATGGATAGTTCAGGCACAGTCCCGCTTGCCACTACAGGGTAAGATGGGAGGCTGCAACTGTGGACCAGCATTCTTTGCCAAGTACAGCTGCGCTGCAGTGTTAGGCGTGAGCATGGGGATTAGATACGGTGGGGAGAATGGCTGCTTCATACCCCTGAACTGATGGAAAGTTGCGCCGTTCAAGAGTGCATCACCAATCGAAACAATTGTAGGAGAGTTGTCAAACCCGGGGGTAGACAACGCCGAGACGCCAAACCATGGGGTGACCTCCTTCCGCTGACCGGGCAGGAAAACATTCCGCTCTGACCGAATGTTTGCGTATGCCCGGCCACCTAAGCAGTAGAAGCCCCAGTTGGTGTAGAGGTTGTTCACTACATGGAACTGGCCCCAGCGGCAGTGCGGTAACCGCTGGCCTGACTTATCGAACCAGTTACGGTAGATGGTTACACGCATGCGCTTGTCAATAGAGTCCCAGTCTGCTGCTCCCAGCAGCATAGTGAGGTCCCTGGGAGCATGATGCATACAGGGTTGGAGGGGCGGGACAAGACGAGAGGGAGGGTGGAGAGAGAGAGAGAGAGAGAGAGAGAGAGAGAGAGAGAGAGAGAGAGAGAGAGAGGGAGGGAGGGAGGGAGGGAGTGGTGACGAGGGAGGGGAGGGGGGGAGCAGGGGTGAAGGAGGTGGCGCGAGCAGGGAAGTTTAAACGCACATGACTATTGGAAGCCTGTTGAACTAGCCTAGACAGATTAACGGAAGTGACAGATGTAGGCATGGTAAAGGAGGGTTCAGAAATAGGGATGGAGCCCAGGGAATAGATTCAGGGATGTGATGATGCAACAGGTGGGGAAGAAGCAAGCAGGATGAGGAGTGGGTGGGGGAGGGCGGGAGGGAGAGCGGAGAACACTTGCATGGTATCTGGTGCATGTGGGGACTTGCTATTCTGAGTTGCTGTTGACGCAGCAAAGTGGTGATCAGAGTGGTTTTCAGAGTGGTGTTAGAGAGATGTTTACAGCTTGCTGACAAGCCGTGCACGAGGTTGCATCAGACCCATCCGCCTTGATTATCAATGACCAGCACAACAATACCCAGAAGCAACCCGGCAGCAACAAGAGACCAACGTCAACCCCATCGCACCCACTCGGCCCTCCCACCCCGCTCACTTGTTGTGGACGTAGCAGTTGGAGATGGTGACGTCAGTGGAGCCCCGCACCACGTCAACAGTGCCACGTACGCCGTTCTGCACGTTGCAGTGGTCCACCCACACGCGCCAGCTGGACCGGATGTGGATAAGGTCGTGGTTGCCGTACTCGTTCTCCACTGAAGAGGGAGTTATTGGGGAAGGCAGGGAAGATGGGGAGAGGTGAAGGGAGAGGAGAACAGAGAGGAGAGAAGAACGGTGGGGAATAGTGCCGTTTATTGCATGTTTATGGGCTGTGCGTATGCACACCTATCCCCATCTACGCACCCTCCACGTAGGACAAAGTAGGCTCTCTATATAAAGTGCCTCCTCACGCACCTGCAATGTTGTGTATAATCACATTCGTGACATTGATCACGTCCAGACTCCCGATGATTTTCACCCACGCGCCGCGTCCGTCGATGCTCGTGTGCGAAGGAACGAACAGCCGCGCGTTCAGGCGAATCGTCATCGACTTCGCGAACCGGATGTAACACCCGCCGCGCAGCCACTGCAGCGCCCAGCGCAGCGTCCCGTACTTGGGCACCGTCGCGTAGTCCGCGCTGCTGCGCACGATATACACGGGCTTCCCGAGCCCACCCGTCACGCGCGCGCGCTTCGCGTACCCCATGGCGCAGCGGTAGAGGTTTTGCCCGAAGCCCTTGCGCGAGTACTGACAGTCCACCTGCTTGCTGCTTGCTGCCCTCACTGCCGTGACTGACTTGACTGGCTTCTTGACTGACTTGACTGGCTTCTTGACTGACTTGACTGGCTTCTTGACTGACTTGACTGGCTTCTTGACTGACTTGACTGGCTTCTTGCTGCTCCTGCTTCGGCTACTCGGTCTCCTCGCGCTGCTGCTCGGGCGTTTCTTGGCGGTTTTCCGTGGCCGCGCGCTTGCGCCCTGCACGTGCGTTCTCCCTCCCCGCCTCGCCTTCCCTTGCCCGCTCGTCCCGCGTCCTCTCACGGTTCGCGTCACTTTACGCGTCGCCTTCCGTGGCGCCTTTCGAGGCGCCTTTTTAGCCCCTCCGCGCTTTGTAGTGCTCTGCCGCCGTTTGACCGCCCCCTTCGACTTTGCCGCAGCCGCACTCACTCCGCGGCTCGTGCGGCCGCCGCGCTTCTTCGTCGCGGCTCGCCTCACAATCTTACCTTTCCCCTTTCCTCCGCTACGTTTCACCGGCCGTCTAGCAGCCGGTCGCCGTTTAGTGGTGGGCGCGTTCCCCCTGTGCGCGGAGCTCCGCCAGCGCGGGGAAACTACAGGGGCGCGCTTGGCGCGGGCGATATTCCTCAGCGTACGGCGAACGGAGAGGCTGTCAGCGGGTGCTGCGGGCAAAAGCCGACTGGTGCTATTGTCTGGCCAAGGCGCGTCGGTACTGCCGCCGCCGCTGCCGCCGCCGCCGCCGCCGCTGCTGCTGCTGCTGCTGCTGCTGCTGCTGTTGCTGTTGCTGCTGCTGCTGCTGCTGCTGCTGCTGCTGCTGCTGCTGCTGCTGCTGCTGCTGCTGCTGCTGCTGCTGCTGCTGCTGCTGCTGCTGCTGCTGCTGCTGCTGCTGCTGCTGCTGCTGCTGCTCCTGTTCCTACGGCTGCTGTTGAGAGTAAGGCGATTATTAAGCGTTGTGTTAGCGGAGGTCTTTGGCCATCCGCTCCTGCCCGCGCCCGCATCACCATGTCCCCATCGGTCTAGGATTCCCGACTGCAGCTCGTGCTCCCAGGGATGCTCTTTGAACATCCCCTCTTCGTATTCGTCGGCGTCGTAATCGTCGTCGTTCTCGTCGTCGTCATCGTCGTCGTCATCGTCGTCGTCATCGTCGTCGTCGTCGTCGTCGTCGTCGTCGTCATCGTCGTCGTCATCGTCGTCGTCATCGTCGTCGTCATCGTCGTCGTCATCCTCGTCATCGTCGTCGTCATCGTCGTCGTCATCGTCATCGTAATAATCTATTTCCTCCTCCTCTTCGTCCTCCTCCCACTCTTCCCCCTCCTCCCCGCCGTCCCATCTTTCCGTTACCGTCCCCTCTTCCTCACTCCCAATGTCATGATTCAAAGCACTTTCCAACCCCATTTTTTCACTCCCTGCATCGTTACCCCCCTCCCCGTCCTCCTTTTCCTCTGCCCTTTTCACCTCCTCCTCGTCTTCCTCTTTCTCAGCCATCCCCATCGTACCCTCTAAATCCACTTCTTCGTTATCTCTTGACCAGTAATGATATTTCACATCCCACATCTCTCCTCCTGTCCCGTACCTTCGCTCCTCCCCGCCACCACCGCCCCGCCCGCGCCTCAGTGCGCTCATATTACCCCCGGCCTGGGGTTCCTGATTCCCCAGCGGGTCTTCCGCCACCCGCTTCCGCTTGCGCAGCACAGAGCCTTTCCCTGCTAGTTCCGCTTGCGCCACTTCCGCTCCCAGCGAGGCAGCGGAGGCGGCGGCGGGAGCGGAGGGTGGTTGCGCACCTGCATGAGCTGATTCGCTCGCGGCGAATGCCCCTAACGGCGAAGCTTCTGCGGGTGTCGTTAGCTGTCGCTGTGTGGATGCGGAGTTAGCAGGAAAGGATTCGGTCCCGTTTCCTACCGGAAGTGTTGTGGGCAATGTCGTGCTGTTAGGGGAAGCAGGAACGAGATTCGGTTGCGACAGTAAAGCAACGAAAAGAAGAAGCACCTGCGACAAGATGAGCACAGTTGGCGAGAAGAAAGAGACGGGGTGGTTGAGAGAGCAAGCGAGGTGAATTCGACCGCGCATTAAGGCATGCGAAGGGAAGGGAGACGAGGAGCATCACAGGAAAACCAGGAATCGTTGGTGCATTGTGGCTGAGTACAGGCTAAGGATTGATAAAAAGGGAGGAATGCGAGAGAGTGGAAGGAGTTTGAATAGGGTGCATTACGGTTCGGAGGGGGGTTGACGGCGGCATTGACACAGGACCATGTCCCGTACGTCCCTTGGCACTAGCAATGTTGCTGCAGGACGACCGGCGCGACCACGTAGACCAAGAAGACCGCCTATCTGAATCTGCTCTTCCACGCCGGAAACTTGCTGCCGCGCCATTCAATGGAACGCGTTTGCTTCCTGGGAAATTCCCGTGAGCCGGAAGGGCGATCCGTCTGCCATGGCTCATGATTGATGAGGCACTACGCAGAAAGATGGAACAGGGCGAGCGGCGCAGGCGTCCTTTGAAAGGGCGTTTACGAAAATAGTCTCACGGAGCGACGCGTTGTTTTCATGGCATTATTCTGGTGTTACGCGGTGGTCGGGATGCGAGTGAGCGCGATGCACGGCAAGCGAGAATGCAAGTGGCGTGGTTTTGTTTTCTGAAAAGCGGACCCCCACTGATAAGCCACGACATTCAATTCTCGACCACGCATGTGCTTTGTAGTCTACTCGTTTGCCGTCCTCTCGCTCCAACGTTCATACGGCTATCGGGCAAGGAGAGAGGCTAATTAGAAGAGCGTTGGGTTACGGGTGGTGCCATGCCAAATTCGCGGAATTCAGTGGGGATTAGAAGAGCGTTGGGTTAGGGCCAGGAGATTGCTCTGGGGGGGACAAACGGTATGGGGCGAGGCAGGCGTTTCAGGGAAATCCCCTGCTCGCTTGGTCTGAGCAAGCCGCAAACAAAAGGCTTAGATCCCGAGGCGCTATGTGGTTGTTCATGATCGCGACGCGCGGGAGGACTATTGGTACAGTACACCTCGAGTTTTCTGGTGTCTGCGACGGAGCGCGGACGACGCTCAACGACTCTTTGGGATTGCTGCGAGCGACGTTCTATAATCGCTCGTGGTTACAGCCTCACCACCGACCGAACCACCAGGCTCCCTCCGACTAGCGATGGGCAAAGATTGCAGTTGTCGCTCGCGACAGTCTCTGACAAGACGCTTGTCGCTTGTAGTCACGACGAGCCGATAGGAGATAGGGAAATTAGACGTTTGCCGCCAGCAAATATTCAGTTACCCGATTCTCTGGCATGTAACCATGAATGATGCATTCTTATGAGTTTTAAACGAAGAGATTGCACGGAAGTCATTAACGAGGTAGTGATTTACAACTACTGCGCAAACAACTAGGCCTAGCCATGATATTACGAGAGACTGTTCAAATTAGCATAGGAATCTGGTGGACAGGAGATGGTGCCATGACGGAAGTTTTGTAAGGACCTTGTTATAATCATTTTTAGAAAATAAGATAATAATAGCATGACGTTACATTGATTTAATTAGTCCTAGCTATCCATCCATGCACTTTGAGTGGTGCATTCCCTTATTCATTCGAACTACGTAAATTTGATGCAGTAGTGATGATTACGATTATGACCTTTGCCAAGATTTCAAACAACCTGAACCCTCAGACCAGATTTTCAAAAATATGAATAATGCATTGATTATTTAGGGCACTTGTTTTACTTTGTCCTGTCTTGTCAGGGCACCTGCTTGTTAAGTTCATAAATTCTTTCGTAACTGCATACATGCTAGTTACGTAGTATCACAAATATATTATGCCTCTTGGTGATGTAATAACTCCCTTTATGCCACCTATAACCCGTTGCTAGTGAAAACCCTTCCATCTTGTAAACTTCTCACGCTACTCGTCATTCATGTCTAGCTCATCCTTAGCTATGGCTCTTCCGATTGAATTTTCCCATATCATGGTATCTGGAGCTACGATAGTCTAGAGACATGCTTTTAATTTATAATGGCGCCCGTTGCAGCACCAATTAAGATGCCCGTCGCGACACTCGCCGCACTACCAGCCCCGCCCTAAACCGTACCGTCCCGTAGCCACATGCGCCCAGCCGCGCATGTGGCTGCGTGCGGCCGCGCACAGCCACGATCAGCCACGTGAAGTCGCACATGGCCGCGAGCGTCAGCGACCGACACTAGTACGTGCACCAGCGCCAGCGCCAGCTCCATGGACGGTCGCCAGCGGCCGCACCAGCAACGACTGCCAGCGCTGGTGTGTCAAAACATATGCATATTAGTATCTAGGCTATATTGGGGCTAGCCTTAGAGGGTACAGAAACATTCTCGACACTCTAGTCTTGTACCCCAACCTTGACCTAATCTCACACAACTTCATGCCTAAGATTCTAAGATGGTATCTAGAGCCTAGAGGTCTCTAGGACCTAAGGTAAGGGCCCAGCGTTACCACATTACCTCACCTGCCTTGCCTCCTGCCCGTGCGCGCCTCGGCTGCACGCGCGCGGCCCTTTTTTTATTTCCCGCGCGCGCCGCTTGAGCAGCCCACGCGCGCTTCGTTTAGGCCCGTTTTCGGCCCCGCGCGCCACGTCAGCCGTCCGCGCGGCTCGTTTTTTTTTCCTTACCCGCCCATCGCGGCCCCTTAGCCGCCCGTCGCGGCCCCTTAGCCGCCCGTCGCGGCCCCTTAGCCGCCCGTCGCGGCCCCTTAGCCGCCCGTCGCGGCCCCTTAGCCGCCCGCGGCCCCTTACCCGCCCGTCGCGGCCCCTTACCCGCCCGTCGCGGCCCCTTAGCCGCCCGTCGCGGCCCCTTAGCCGCCCGTCGCGGCCCCTTAGCCGCCCGTCGCGGCCCCTTATCCGCCCACGGCCCCTTACCCACCCGTCGCGGCCCCTTACCCGCCCGTCGCGACCCCTTACCCGGTCTGTCACGGCCCCTGGCGGCCCCCACGCCGCTCTTTCACAGCCCTGCAGCGGCCGCCGCTGGAACAGCCGCCCCTGCAGCAGCCGCCCCAGTTCCCTGCAGCAGCCGCACCTGCAGTAGCCGTCCCAGGCCACTGCAGCAGCCGCCCCTGCAGCAGCCGTCCCAGGCCACTGCAGCAGCCGCCCCTGCAGCAGCCGTCCCAGGCCACTGCAGCAGCTATCCCAGGCCATTTCCTGCAGCAGCCGCCCCTGGAGCAGCCGTCCCAGGCCACTGCAGCAGCCGCCCCTGCAGCAGCCGCCCCTGGCCCCTGGAGCAGCCGCCCCTGCAGCAGCCGCCCCTGGCCCCTGGAGCAGCCGCCCCTGCAGCAGCCGTCCCAGACCACTGCAGCAGCCGCCCCTGGCCCCTGGAGCAGCCGCCCCTGCAGCAGCCGCCCCTGGCCCCTGGAGCAGCCGCCCCTGGCCCCTGTAGCAGCCGCCCCTGCAACAGCTGCCCTTGGCCCCTGGAGCAGCCGCCTCTGCAGCAGCCGCCCCTGGCCCCTGAAGCAGCCGCCCCTGGAGCAGCTGGCCCCTGCAGTGGTGCCGGCCCTGCCGTTGCAGCCGTCGTACGCCTAACTTTCTTGCCACTGGTGAGCACTGTCCTGCCCGTACTGCTGTTACTGCTGCTCCTGCTGCTACTGCTCTTTCTACTCCTACTGCTGCTAGTGCTGCTACTGCTGCTCTTGCTGCTACTGCTGCTACTACTGTTCGTGCTGCCCCTACGGCTCCTCCCCTCTCTACTGCTCCTGCTGCTCCTGGCGTGGCCAGATGCAGCTCCAGCGCCGTCCGCGTGAGTCCCTCACGCCCCCACAGCTTCATGAGTGGTACGCTCGCTGGGGTTGTCGGGGTGGCCGTCGTGGGAGTCGTTCTGGCGTGAGTAGTTTCGGGGCTTCTTGTAGTGGCCAGGTGCAGCTGCAGCGTCGTGTGCGCGCGGTCCCTTCGCCCCCGCAGCTTCATGAGTGGTACTATCAGCGGGGGGGGGGGGGTCACGGGGTTCTGCTCGCTGCCCGTATGTCATTCGCACTGGTGCTCGGACTGGCCAGCCTTGCGGGACGTTTGGTCACACTGCTTCGCCAGTCTGAGCGACGCCTGGCGTACGGAGTTTGGCGACGCGGCTGAGCTCCCCGACTGGGTGGAGCTGCGCCGGCGGAGGGTAGATATCTATGCTCTTGACTTTGATGCTATCCTCACTGCCATGTATGCATTGTCTACTAGTGATGTCGGTGACTGTTCCCTGAGTGCTCCGCCCGACCCGGGCGGTGCAGCTGCTGCTCTAGGTGCCAGTGAGTCTGCTGCTCCAGGTGCTAGTGAGTCTGCTGCTCCAGGTGCTAGTGAGTCTGCTACTCCAGGTTCGGGTGAGTCTGCTCTCTCAGGTACCACGTCTGCTCCGGCGTCGCACACTTTCACCCTTGACTCGGGTGCTTCCCGCTCCTTCTTTCGAGACCGCACCACTCTCACGCCGCTCAGTCGGCCGGTTGCGGTCTCCCTGGCAGACCCCTCTGGGGGTCCTGTCCTTGCTCACTACTCCACTGTACTACCGTGTCCGGCGGTCCCGTCTGGCTCCCTGTCGGGTCTTTACCTCCCCTCGTTCTCTACGAACTTGGTGGCGGGTGCTGACCTACAGGATGGGGGGGTTGACCAGTTCACCCGTGCGCGTCAGCGGGTGACCCGTGTGCGGACACGGGCCGACACTTGGCCACGTTTACCCGTCGGCCGGGGTCGAGCCTGTACACCCTCACTACCGAGTCTCCTCCGGTTGCTGTGCCTGGTCAGGTAGCTGCGTCGGGTCAGGTGTTTGCTGCGGCGTCTCGGTCTGGTCCTGAGTCTGCCCCCTGCTCGTGTCGCCTCCTGTCCCACGAGACTCTTCTCTGGCACCACCGTCTTGGTCACCCCTCCCTGCCTCGTCTCCGAGGCATGGCCTCTCGTGTCTTGGTATCTGGTCTTCCCCGGTCGCTCCCTCCCCTCCCCCCGGGGCCTGCCCCTACCTGCGTTCCTTGCGTCGAGGGGCGGCAGCGCGCCGCTCCTCACTCCTCCGAGTTTCCGCCGACAGAGGCTCCGCTGCAGACTCTTCACATGGACGTGTGGGGCCCAGCCCGCGTCCGTGGACAGGGTCATGAGCGTTACTTCCTGCTGGTGGTTGACGATTACTCGCGTTACACCACAGTCTTCCCCTTGCGCCGCAAGGATGAGGTTACTGAGGTGTTGATCGACTGGATCCGCGCTGCTCGTCTCCAGCTCAGGAAGAGTTTCGGCTCTGACTTTCCTGTTTTGCGTCTGCACTCCGACAGAGGTGGGGAGTTTTCCTCCGGCCCTCTGCGAGCCTTCTGTCGTGCGAGGGGCATCCGCCAGACGTTCACGCTTCCGGCCTCTCCACAGCAAAATGGGATTGCTGAGCGCCGCATTGGCATGGTCATGGACGTCGCTCGTACGTCCATGATCCATGCGGCTGCTCCCCATTTTCTGTGGCCGTTTGCGGTTCAGTACGCGGCGCGTCAGATCAACCTTCAGCCCCGGGTCTCCATGCCGGGGACCTCCCCCACTCTGCTGTGGACGGGGAAGGTTGGCGATGCGTATGCGTTCCGTGTCTGGGGCTCTCGGGCTTTTGTCCGGGACTTGTCTGCGGACAAGCTGTCCTCCCGTGCTGTTCCCTGCGTCTTCCTTGGCTTCCCCCCTGACGCGCCTGGTTGGCAGTTTTACCACCCCACCTCGCGCCGTGTTCTGTCCTCCCAGGACGTCACGTTTGACGAGTCGGTTCCGTACTACCGTCTCTTCCCCTACCGCACTGCCCCGCTCCCCCCCCCGCCGCTCTTCCTTACGCCAGGTCCCCCCCCGGTAGACCCCCTCCCCCCTCAGGGTCCCCCCCCGGTAGACCCCCCCCCTTGGCTGAGCCTTTAAAATCACTTCCGACACCTCTGGCCCACCCGAGGGGGGTGACGCTGCTGCTGGCGCCCCGTCGGCCTACCGCCGCGCACCACGCTTGGAGACCCCTCCGGGGTTCCCCCCGCGACCTTCTTCACCGCCTCTGCAGCCGGCTACTGTTGACTCTGGTGCTGCTGGGGGTGGTGCTCCTGGAGGTGCTGCGTCTGGGGGTGCGGAGTCTGGGGGTGCTGAGCCAGCACGTGAGGAGACTGGGGGTTCTGCGCCTGGGGGTGCCGTGTCTGTGGGTGCTGAGCGTGTGTGTGCGGAGTCTGGGGGTGCTGAGTCTGGCGGTGAGACGCTTGAGGGTACTGGGACTGCTGGTGCGCGGCCTACTTGGAGTGGCCGCCTTCGTCCGCGTGTGCCTCTCACCACTCAGCAGCTGCACGACTGGTACGGTCGCCGTCAGCGTCGCGCTGCTGGAGCCCGGGACTCTGCTGCTCGAGGTACTGGAGCTGCTGGGGCTGGGGGTGCTGCGTCTGGGGGTGCTGCTGCGGGAGACGCTGCGGTTGGAGACCCTGGGACTGGAGGTGCTGGTTCTGGGGGTGCTGCTGCGGGAGACGCTGCGGCTGGAGACCCTGAGACTGGAGGTGCTGGTTCTGGGGGTGCTGCTGCGGGAGACGCTGCGGTTGGAGACCCTGGGACTGGAGGTGCTGGTTCTGGAGGTGCTGCTGCGGGAGACGCTGCGGCTGGAGACCCTGGGACTGGAGGTGCTGGTTCTGGGGGTGCTGCTGCGGGAGACACTGCGGTTGGAGACCCTGGGACTGGAGGTGCTGGTTCTGGGGGTGCTGCTGCGGGAGACACTGCGGTTGGAGACCCTGGGACTGCAGGTGCCGGTTCTGGGGGTGCGGCTGCTGGTGACGCTGGTTCTGGAGCTGCTGGCGCTGGAGGTACCGGTTCTGAGGCTGGAGCTTCTGGAGCTGCTGGAGGCGCTGGCGCTGCTGGAGGTGCTGGCGCTGCTGGAGCTGCTGGAGCTGCCGGAGCTGGTACAGCTGCGCCGACACGACTGTTCTTCGCTCCGCCGTCTCCGTCGTCGCTGCCGCCGCCTGACTCTCTTCTTCGTCAGGTTCTTACTCTCCCGTCGTCCACTGGTCTTCCGTTACCGGCTGGCTCACCGCTGCCTGCTCCTTCTCCTTACACTGAGCAGACAGGTAGTCCTGCTGAGCGTCGTGAGCCTGCGTCACGTCCTGTCTCGCCTGTTCGTCCTGGTCGTACCGGTCGTCGTGTCGCTCGTGCGCGTCAGCAGACTGTCCCCAGCGCACACCTTGTCGTCCGTCGTCCTTCCTCTGCTCCGCAGCCTGCTCCTCTGCCTTCCCCACCTGCGTCCTCTCTGCCTGTCGTTACGGACCCTGAGTCTGACCGGTTTCGCGCTGAGCACCCCACTGTCACGCGTCTCCTCGCCACTGTTGTCACTGACCCGTCGTTTGAGTCTACTGCTGTGTCTGCCTTAGTCGCTGAGCTTGTCGACTTTGCTGCTGCCTGTCGTCTCGACTACGCCGCTAGTCTTGTTGCTGAGTCTGAGTCTGTCTGTCCTCCGTCCGTCGGGGGTGAGTGTGCTCTTAGCACGGACGTCCTTGAGGACAGGCAGGAGGAGTTCCAGTGTCTTGCTGCTGCTTTACCTCATCTTGTGTCCTCGCTGCTTGCCCCTGAGGGAGACCCGGATGCACTAGACATCCCGACTCCGCGATCTTACGCGGAGGCGATAGAGGGTCCCTACTCCTCTCAGTGGCAGACAGCCATGGACGCAGAGATGGCTTCCTGGAAGTCCACAGGCACCTACGTCGACGAGGTTCCCCCTCCTGGGGCGAACATCGTCAGTGGCATGTGGATTTTCAGGGTAAAGCGGCCGCCAGGTTCTCCGCCTGTCTTCAAGGCGCGTTACGTGGCTCGAGGCTTCAGTCAGCGGCAGGGAGTTGACTACTTTCAGACCTTCTCTCCCACCCCGAAGATGACTACTCTTCGGGTGCTGCTACACATAGCCGCTCACCGTGACTACGAGCTTCACTCTCTGGACTTCAGCACAGCCTTCTTACAGGGCAGCCTGCACAAGGAGATCTGGCTGCGCCGCCCACCTGGCTTCACTGGGACGTTTCCTCCTGGTACCAAGTGGAGCCTCCGGCGGCCAGTCTACGGTCTCCGCCAGGCGCCGCGTGAGTGGCACGACACACTGAGGACTACGCTTGCGGCTCTTGGGTTTGCTCCTTCTACTGCAGACCCGTCGCTGTTTCTACGCACCGACACCTCTTTGCCGCCGTTCTACATCCTCGTGTACGTCGACGACTTGGTCTTTGCTACAGCTGACACTGCTGGACTCGCCCACGTGAAGTCTGAGCTGCAGAAGCGACACACGTGCACAGACCTGGGTGAACTGCGCAGCTATCTTGGCTTGCAGATCACTCGGGACAGAGCACGCCGCACCATTACCCTGACTCAGTCACACATGGTGCAGCAGGTCCTTCAGCGCTTCGACTTCACGTACTCCTCGCCTCAGGCCACTCCTCTGTCTACTCGCCACTCGCTCTCAGCTCTGCCTTCGGATGAGTCCGTAGAGCCGAGTGGCCCGTACCCAGAGCTTGTTGGCTGCCTGATGACCTGATGACCTGCACTCGACCTGACCTGGCCTACCCTCTTAGCATCCTGGCACGCTATGTTGCTCCTGGGAGACACCGACCCGAGCATATGGCTGCAGCGAAGAGGGTTTTGCGCTACTTGTGCAGTACGTCGGGCATGGGGCTCGTGCTTGGAGGGCGGAGTCGAGTGGTCCTCACTGGTCACGCAGACGCGTCTTGGGTTGACGACTTGGCTACGCAGCGGTCGTCACAGGGTTACACCTTCAGCCTTGGTTCCGGCTCTGTTTCGTGGAGGTCCACCCGCTCGTCTTCTGTTCTCAGCTCCAGTTGTGAGGCTGAGATCTACGCGGGAGCCATGGCTGCTCAGGAGTTACGCTGGCTGACCTACCTGCTGACTGACCTTGGAGAGCCGCCTCGTTCTCCTCCAGTCCTGTACGTAGACAACAAGGCCATGCTGGCCTTGTGTCGGGAGCAAAGACTGGAGCACAGAACGAAGCACATTGCTCTTCGTTACTTCCTTGCTCGTGAGCTGCAGCAGCGTGGTCAGCTGCGCCTTGCTTACGTGGCCTCTCAGGCCAACACTGCTGATATCTTCACCAAGGCACTTCAGCCTTGTGATCATCAGCGCTTTTGTACGATGTTAGGTCTTGTGCCTACTTTGCCTCACTTGCTCACTTCTTGACCTTGCTTGTACTGTGTCTTATATATACCTGCTCTTATTTGTTTCCCTTTATTTATATATTATCCTGCATGTGAACTGGCCTTGTGGCCTTGAACCTGTGCTCGGAATGTGTGGTGACATTGTGATCCACCCTGAGCTGTGTTTTGTTTCTTCTCTTGACTGGTCTTGTGACCATTGCTTGCTCTGGCTATCCCCCATTTCGCCTATGGGGGTGTGTCAAAACATATGCATATTAGTATCTAGGCTATATTGGGGCTAGCCTTAGAGGGTACACAAACATTCTCGACACTCTAGCCTTATACCCCAACCTTGACCTAATCTCACACAACTTCATGCCTAAGATTCTAAGATCCCCCCCACTCCAGCCTGCCCCACCCTCCTTTCTGCCGCGCCCTGTCACGGCAAACACTTCAAGGGGGGGATGGCGGGATTGGCAACCGAGGCTGCGGGATATTGAAGCCCCTAGACCCCCCCACCTCCCCTTCCTGCCCCCCTTCCTCGCCCCTCCCTCATCCTCCTTCTCATCGCTGCGGTGCGTGCCGTGTTAGGGGGGGATGGGGGGGGATGGGGAAGAGGGTGTGGGGATGGTGGGTAAGTCAAGGCAGCAACCCCCTCCTCCTTTCTATTCCGCTGCACCTCTTCTCGCTTCAACTCTTCCTCTTGTCAAACGATATATGTGATGCCAGAATGTAGGCTGTAGTGGGGTAGCCCATGTGGGGTACAACACTTGTTAGGGTTTGTATTTGTACCCCAACTTCCATAGTCCAATCATTCCTGTCTCTAGTTTCTAACATGGTATCAGAGCAATAGGTCCGTAGGACCGTTTTTTCTTTTGTGACTGAAGGTGCTGCGTCTGGAGGTGTTGCTGCTGGAGACACTGAGGCTGGAGACCCTGGGACTGGGAGTGTTGGTTCTGGGGGTGCTTCTTCTGGAGACATTGAGGCTGGAGACCCTGGGACTGGAGGTGCTGGTTCTGGGGGTGCTGCTGCTGGTGGAGCTGGTCCTGGAGGTGCTGGCGCTGGAGGTTCTGGCGCTGCTGGGGGTACTGGAGCTGCTGGAGGTGCTGGAGGTGCTGGTGCTGGTAGCACTGCACCGACTCGACTTTTCTTCGCTCCGCCGTCTCCGTCGTCTCAGCCACCGTCTGGCTCTGCCCTTCGCCAGGTTCTTGACCTCCCGTCTTCTACTGGTCTACAGTTACTGCCTGGCTCACCGCTGCCTGCTCCTTCTCCTTACACTGAGCAGACAGGGAGTCTTGCTGAGCGTCATGAGCCTGCGTCGCGTCCTGTCTCGCCTGTTTGTCCTCGTCGTACCGTTCGCCATGTTCCTCGTCAGCGTCAGCCGGCTGTCTCCGGCACGCCTCTTGTCGCCCTTCCTCTGCTCCACAGCGTACTCCTGTGCCTTCTCCCTCTTCGTGCTCTCTGCCTGACGTTGCGGACCCTGAGTCTGACGAGTTTCGTGCTGCACACCCTACTGTCACGCGTCTGTTAGCCACTGTTGTCACTGACCCGTCGTTTGAGTCTGCTGCTGCGTCTGCCTTGGTCGCTGAGCTTGTTGACTTTGCTGCTGCCTGTCGTCTCGACTACGCCGCTAGTCTTGTTTCTGAGTCTGAGTCTGTCTGTCCTCCGTCCGTCGGGGGTGAGTGTGCTCTTAGCACGGACGTCCTTGAGGACAGGCACGAGGACCTTGAGTGTCTTGCAGCCGCTGCGCCTCATCTCGTGGCCATGCTGCTTGCCCCTGAGGGAGACCCGGATGCTGTAGACATCCCGACCCCGCGCTCTTACGCTGAGGCGATCGCGGGTAGATACTCCTCTCAGTGGCAGACAGCCATGGACGCAGAGGTGGCATCCTGGAAGTCCACAGGCACTTACGTCGATGAGGTTCCCCCTCCTAGGGCGAACGTCGTCGATGGCATGTGGATTTTCAAGGTGAAGCGGCCGCCGGGTTCTCCGCCTGTCTTCAAGGCTCGTTACGTTGCTCGAGGCTTCAGTCAGCGAGAGGGGGTTGACTTCTTCCAGACCTTCTCCCCCACCCCGAAGATGACTACTCTTCGGGTGCTGCTGCACGTTGCCGCTCAGCGTGACTACGAGCTTCACTCTCTGGACTTCAGCACAGCTTTCTTACAGGGCAGCCTGCACGAGGAGATCTGGCTGCGCCGCCCTCCTGGCTTTACGGGGTCGTTCCCGCCAGGTACCCAGTGGAGCCTCCGGCGGCCTGTCTACGGTCTCCGCCAGGCGCCACGCGAGTGGCACAACACACTGAGGACGACACTTGCGGCTCTTGGGTTTGCTCCGTCGACTGCTGACCCGTCGTTGTTTCTGCGCACCGACACTTCGCTGCCGCCGTTCTACATCCTCATGTACGTCGACGACTTGGTCTTTGCCACTGCTGACACTGAGGCTCTCGCCCTTGTGAAGTCTGAGCTGCAGAAGAGACACACGTGCACAGACCTGGGCGAGCTGCGCAGCTACCTTGGCTTGCAGATCACCCGGGACAGAGCACGTCGCACCATCACACTGACTCAGTCACACATGGTGCAGCAGGTCCTTCAGCGCTTCGGCTTCACCTGGTCCTCGCCACAATCCACTCCCCTGGCTACAGGTCACTCGCTCTCAGCTCCACCTTCGGACGAGTCCGTAGAGCCGAGTGGTCCTTACCCAGAGCTAGTGGGCTGCCTCATGTACCTGATGACTTGCACTCGTCCTGACCTTGCGTACCCTCTTGGCCTTCTGGCCCGCTACGTGGCTCCTGGTCGGCACCGAAAGGTGCACATGGATGCTGCAAAGAGGGTACTGCGTTACTTGTGCAGTACATCGGGCATGGGGCTCGTGCTTGGAGGGCGGAGTGAGATGGCCCTCACTGGGCACTCAGACGCGTCTTGGGTTGACGACCAGACTACACAGCGG